GCACTGGGAAATGACAAAACTGAAATCGAGAGATGTCCCCTCATTTTCCACATACGATCACATTTTGTGCAGAGCATGACCCACGTTTGTTCTGCACATGTATGTATATTTATATACAACCCTAAATCAAAAATAGTTGGAACAGTATGTAAAATCAAAATTAAAACTGAGAGTAGTGATGTGTAAATCATCTGTGTCCTGTATTACATTGAAAACAATACAGCAGCACATTATTTGATGTGATACCTCATCAATTTCATTCATTCACATTCCATAAAAGGTGGGACAGTAAAGCATTTACCACAGTGTGATGCTGCCGTTCATTTTCACAACACTTAAAGGAAGTTTGGGGACTAAGGACACCACATGATTATATGTGTCAGGTGTCATTTTGTTCCATTCTTCCTGCAAACAAGTCTTAAGGTGTGCAACGATCCTGGGTCTATGTTGACACAATTTACACTTCACCATGTGCCATACATTCTCTATTGGGGACAGGTCAACTGCAGGCAGGCCAGTCCAGCACTCACACCCTTCTCCTCCACAGCCAGGCCTTGGTAATGTGGCACTATGAGGTTTTGCATTGTCTTGTTGAAATGTGTATGGACGTCCATGGAAAAGATGTCGCCTTGAAGGCAACATATGTTGCTCCAAAATCTCTGTGTACTTTTCAGCATTAATGGAGCCATCAGAGAAGTGGAAGTTACCTTTGCCGAGGGCACTGACACAACCCAGACCATGACAGACCCTGGCTTTTGGACTTGTTGCTGGTAACAGTCTGGATGGTCCTTTTCGTCTTTGGTCTGGAGCACATGGTGTCCGTTCCTTCCAAAAAAGGACCACAGTACATGTTTCCACTGTGTGATGGTCCATCCCAGATGCCTCTGAGCCCAGAGCAGTTAACTGCACTTCTGGACACTGTTGTGCCCTTGTCCTTTATGCATTGAAACCCCTCCAGATTTCCTGAATCTTGTAATTATGTTCTGCACCATTGAGGGTGACTTAGCCAAATCCCTTCCTATCTGTCTTTGAGAAACATTGTTTTTAAACATTTCAATGATTTTCTCATGCACATGTTGGTAAACTTACGGAGCCCCGGAGGGGACATGGGAGAAAAAAAAATTTCCGACAACTATCTCGAGATCTCGCAAAACTTTCTCGAGATCTCGCAAAACTATCTCGAGATCTCGCAAAACTTTCTCGAGATCTCGCAAAACTAATGCAAAATTTTCTCGAGATCTCGCAAACCTGTTTCTCGGGATCTCGAGATCTCGCAAACCTGTTTCTCGGGATCTCGAGATCTCGCAAACCTGTTTTGCGAGATCTCGAGAACACTGAAGAAAGTTCCGCATATACTTCCGGGTCAGGGTCAGTTTATGAAAAGCACCAATGACATACACACGCCAGTGGGAGCCTTTCATAGTGTTTTATTTTGAGCTTGGTCTAAAATATAAGGACATTAAATCGGCGCTTGCTTGTATGCACGGGTTTCACGTAAGTGAGAGACATTTGAAGAGAATACTTAGGGCAAATGGATGTTCTCGTCGCGAAACGTACTCCGACCTGGCACACATAGTAGAGTTCATTAGCAATCAGCTGCAGTACTCAGGACAGCTCCATGGGTATCGATGGATGTACGCTAAATGTCGAGAACATGGACTACGTGTGAGAAAAGAAGATGTGCGCTTGATTTTGAATGAGTTGGATGTCAGAGGAGTCGCATTAAGGCAAGCAAGACGTCTGACACGACGGAGCTACTTCTCTAGAGGGCCGAACTTTATCTGGCACCTGGACTCGTATGACAAACTGAAGCCATATGGCATTTGTATCAATGGAAGTATCGATGGCTTTTCAAGGAAGATAATCTGGCTTAATGCATACACAACAAGTAGTGACCCGAAGTTGGT